ATCTCCTTCCCATACTTCTCCGGCGTAATCTAGCGGCGGTACGATTACGCACTTCAAAACCTTCAATTTGATGCGTGTATCGAGGTGCCGGTTTGCGAGTATTGGGTGCAGCTTCCCTGCTCGTGCTTTGCCCTTTTCCGCTACCTTGGACATGTGTGCATTCCACGAGCAGTCTTTTGCGATCTCTACTCCGAGGTATGTGTACTGGTCCACTACTGCAATCTCCTCGATCCCCCACTTCCATCTATGTTCTACTGGTTCCTCCTTGTTCTCGTTGCAAACCATGACGGCACTCTTCTGAACGTTGGCAGACAATCTCCACTTATCAGTAAACTTCTTCGCCGCGTCAATTTGCAGTTGCAGTCCCTCAGGGGTGTCCGAAGCACCGACAAAGTCATCCGCAAACAGCATTCCTGACACCGACGTTTCCGTGTCCCCTACTTTTACTCCCGTCCGGACCGCCTCTACGACTTCCAACAGGTCGTTGATGAACACCTAGAACAATGTTGGGGACAGCGTGCAACCTTGTGGGACCCCCTGCTCAATGTCGAAGAATTTTGACAGTTCTCCGTCTAGCATGACCGCGCTTTTCGTACACTCTGTCATCTTCTTCAGCACTCTCCACATTTTCCCCTTGATCCCGTATTTGGACAGTTGTTTCCACAACCCATTTCTCCATACGGTGTCGTATGCCTTTTTCACGTCCAGGAAGAAGCAGTACGTCGGCTTTCCCGCCCTCTTTCTACCTTGGATGATTCTCCCTACCGTGAACACGTGGTCTACGCACCCCCTCTTCTTGCGGAAACCTGCCTGGCCCTCACTAATGCTATGTTCCTTCTCCAATACTCCCACTATCCTATCGTTCAGCAGCTTACAGAACACTTTTCCTACTGTGTTCAACAGTGTGATCCCCCTGTAGTTTCCTGGGTCAGTCTTGTCTCCTTTCTTACACAAATTCACAACCACTCCTTCCCTCCATCTACTTGGCGCATACTCGTTTTTCCACACCCAATTGTATAGCAGTACCANTCAAAGCACTTTTCCTACTGTGTTCAACAGTGTGATCTCCCTGTAGTTTCCTGGGTNATGCGGTTTGTTTACACACGCCTCAACCTCGTCCTCGGTGAATTCCTTTTCTAGTTCTACGTTCCCAACGTCTGCCTTCGACGTCTCTTCTTCTTTCTGGGCCCATGCGTCCACCTCCTTCTTAAACACTTGGTCAAAAGCTTCATTCTCCGAGGGCACTCCAAGTCCCTTGTAGTGTCCTGCTAAAACTTCCCTTAAGCACACACATGATCTTGAGCAAGATCTGGCGTACACTGCAGGTCTCCAGGACACTCGTGAGGCGGCCGAACTCCACGGCAACTATTCTCTACCGCTCCATGCTGGCGCGATATCCTGCGCGGGCTACGTCGCCGACTTGAACGCGACCGTGACCTGCGGCATGGATGGCAGGATTCATTTCTTCGACCTCACCAAGCGACGGATCACCCGGACCTTCAGGGGTCACGTGGATCGCCCGGTCTTCGCCTTCGCCTACTCCAAACAGTGAGAAGATGTGGAGAGGACTCTCGTTGTTTGTTTTGCACAGTACCACGGTGTACAAAGTATGGCATGTCCTCGTATATGCATTCCGGGCGTAATGATCGTGCTTTCTACCTGTTGTAGCCGCGGCTACAGCGGAGACACAAGCATTACTTGGAGACCAACAACGACTAATAGCGGCATATCCTCCACGGAGTGTTTCAAGCATTGAAATGCACCTTGATGAACAGCATTCCGAATCCACCCAATTTGTCTTCGTTCCTCGCCCGACCTTGCCTCCGAAACCCCTTCATGCTAGCACGTGAATCACACATTTCCGCGCGAAAGAACAACGCCTCTTCAATTTCGTTTTTGACATGATTGCACGAAAGCCATCGTTTCGTGGTCTCCGCTGGCATGGGTCGTGCGGTGGTCTTCTGGAACTCGTACACGATGCACGTCCTGGCCCGGCGGGACGGCCACGCGGCCACCGTGAGGCACTGCCTGGTGGACGATCGTAGCGATCGCGTCATCACCATCTCTGCCGACAAGGCCGTACGCTGCTGGGACAGCGCCACCTTCCGCTGTATTCAGGTACTAGGTGTCCGAGCGTTTTTTCTCGCACGACCGGGCTCACCGTTTGACCATTGAATTGAGGTTGGTTTAGCCTTGTGGTTACGCGTGCAGATAATTGTGTGAGTGCGCAACAACGCAGACACCATCGAACTTTTGTACTCTGTGCAATACGGTGCAATACGGAGCGGATGAGACCGTAAAGGATACTTGTTCATCTCCTTATAATGTGTAAGTTATGTTGACTTGTAGACTGTTGCTATACTCTCAAACAAGGTAGGCTGAAACATCTCCGCTACATTGCCTGTGAAAGGTTCAGGTTCATTTTCGAAAGATTTATCTTTCCTGCCCTGTGTCGTTCTGTGCCTTTCTGCGGCCCTCCGTCTCAAGAGTTTCAAGGACCACCGCATGCACCGGCCTGACGATACGATAACGGCCGCTCTCTGGGACCACAGCCGAAGCTCGCTCGTAGTCGCCGGCAGCAGGCTAGGCGTGTGGAAAAACAAGGGAGCCATACAGTCCAGCAAGCATTCCCACGAGGCGCCGGTGACGGCCGCATTGTACAATTGGCACTTCCATCAGGTATTACCCATGCCGACGTGAAGTCTCCGAGGAAGTGATCACTCCAAAGGGACCCCCCAAATGTGATACTCCAAAATACAGGAACAAATCGCCTTTGGCAAATTCGACGGTTTCAATACACAATAGTATGCATCGGCTATGTCTGCCAACCAAGCTTGCTATCATTAGATTATGTAGAAAGTCTCCCCGCCCAGCCAATCTCCTTGGTCTTACACCAAGACACACAGAGGGAGAGAGAGAGAGAGAGAGAGAGAGAGAGTAGTCCACGGCCACTCCAGCGTGCTGGGACGTATCCGCATGGAACTGCTTTATTTGCGCTCCCCTTATTCGGTCTTTGCGGGCGCAACCGCTTGCTCCACAACGTCGAGTCTCGGATCCAAGTGACAGCAGTATCGACCGGTACGAGAGTCAAACTATTTTTTGTAGTTCCGTAGCTATGTTGAACCCAACGTGACCATGACGACGGTACAGTTCTACCTCTCCCAAAGGCATGGCTTGCCCAGCGCCACATTCCGAAAAAGGTTCGTTTGTTTCCCCTGAACATGCTAAGGAGGAAGGAACTAATGCACGTTGCCCCTATCATCAAGAAGGGTGGCTGCAACTTGGGTGGGGAAGGGGCCAAAGCGTGTTTGAGAAATATTTCCCTGACTTCGGTCGGCATTATAGTACCCACAAACACCTGCTCAGCAGTTCGCTCGATTTCATGCAGAAAATGTTGTGTACCTTCACAAGCCCCGACGGTAGACGGCTGAAAAACATGATTGCTCTCTGCGTTTCGGTTGTTCTCGCGTCGCTTGAACAACAACAACGAACGATGGATGGATGGCAGATTGTCTCCGGAGATGCGATGGGGAACGTTCACGTCTGGCTCGTCGAGACCGGGCTTCTCGCTTTCAGGTAGATGCGTGCCCGTGCCCCAGGCTTCTCGTGTGTTGTACATGACCTTCTCGTGGAAGGGGGTGTACGATTGTTGCTTTTTCTGTATTCAATGCCGGCTGTTGATACTGGCTGTTGTCTGGAGGCTTCTACACTCTCGTGAGGTATTGAGGTTGGCTGTGACCGATACCACTTGACTCGCGCGTGACATGGAGCAACGCCATCGGCGATCGTGGCACACGGGAGAGAGCAAAAAGGGGCCGGCGTTAAATATGGAGAGCACAGGACTACGGCCACCCGCCCGGAACGGGCATGTTCATTAATAATGCGCTAAGTTGCGTTTTAGTCAGAACCCTCTCAGCTTTATTGTTAGACCGACGGTGAGATGATCGCTGTGTGACGACTCTGCCCGCATACCACCGTCGCACCATTGCTCGTGCTAGCGGGCTAACACAACACAAAACACTCACACGTTTACCCCGTTGAGCAACTAGTTTATTGGCGCTTAAAAACGGGCTCTCCGACTTACCAACGAGCACGTTTTTTTCAATCCGTCGGCGATCCCTTCGCCATTGCATGCACGTCACCCCTACTTCACACCAATACGAGTTACCACGCTTTTAGCAACGCGTGAGGGTGAGGTGCGTGGTTTGGAACCTCCACCATCCTCGCTCATTCTTTTCACGCGACCAACGCACAATCTGTTTGGCTTTGTTCGCTTGCTTGGTTCACTTCAACACGGACGGTGGTGCGATGGGGGGAAATCAACGGTGGATTAACAGATTTGGCAAAGCGCACGGCACCTCTAAGATAAGCTGTATGGCTTTCGACGCGTCCGAGCGGCGGCTGTTGACCGGGGCTAACGACGGGACCGTGAAGCTGTGGAACTTTAACAGCGGCAAGGTGAGTCCAAGGAGAACGAGCCCATGCTTAAAGACAGTGGGACAGACGCGTAGGGTAGAACGAATCTCCTTTTTTTGATAGCTGCTATGTTGGAAGGTAAGGGCTGTGAAGGGGGTGAGGCTAGGGCAAGCGTGCGTCGATCAATCACAGTACGGATAAAGCTCTCGTGTGGTTGCAAAAGCGTCACTTCCTTATTGATGCGTGTTTTCCCAACACTTGATAATCATGTTCACCCCTCGCCGTGCTGCGGCCCCTTCCTCCCCGCCCGCCCCTCATCTCTCAACTCCCCTTTGTGGTGGGGTGCGTCTTTGAAAGGAACTGCGGCTGCTGCTACCTGGGGGCAACGGAGGCGGAGGAAAAGCCGGGAAGAAGAACGAGGAGGGAAACGAGAGGAATGAGGTGTCCGGCGTTGTGTACTGCAGGGAAGACGGCAAGGGATCGGATAACGTGAGAACATACAGTGATATAGTGGATGTGATGGTGTGGCATTTCATCGCGAGGTCAGACAAGTTGAGCCATATACGGTGATGTTACTGGACGTGTTGTGTACTCCGGAGACGAGGTGACTTCCTGTAAGTGAAGGGCGGAGAACACGCAGGTACACCTCCTACACAGGGTACTGACTTACGCATGCTCCAACCGAGACGTTTTCACAAATGCGCGTTTCCGCCGAAAAGGTTTAACGCTGCTCTCCCAAGACGAGAGTCGTGTTTTCCCTGGAAACAGCCGTTCTGAAAGTTGAGGCACCATCCGCGGGGTGTTGTCTCAGTGTTGAGTACACAGCCTCGTTGGCACAAAAACTCGAAAACGCGTCGAGGCAAAGGGTTCGCAATCTAAAGAGATATATATTGGTGTCAGGACCATTAACGCCCTGGATTTTCTACCCAAGCATGGTGGTATGAAGACCGCTTCCCTAAGCAACTTATCCTGCTACACAGCGGACCTCCTTTTGAGACAACAACTTACATAAGCTCTCACTTCGTCCCTTTGTTGAGCCTTTTCCCACTTGCACTGCGCCAAAATTGCTGTTTATTTAGTCCCCTACACTCCCCACCTTCGTCCCCCCCTTGCCCTCTAAACAACCTCCACTAAATCCGCACCTACCTTAAATCCTTCGCCTTCGTCCCTGCGCGTTGCGAATACATGCGATCCACCGCCCTACATCGCAGGAGGTTCTCGATTACGTTGCTACTTGCTCGTGGGACAAGCAGGTGCGAGTTTTCGCCATGGAGAGCAGTCAAGAGGACAGCCGCAATCTCGCCGCTCTTCAGCAGCAGCAGCAGAACCGCCACCGGCCCCTCGAAGGAGGAGAGACGGCCAACGCCACGGTTGCGTCTCGGGTGTTCCCGGGAGAGGGTCCGCCCCTGCATCGTCATCATCAGGGTGGTGCTGGCCGACGGAAGGGAGGTAATAGTGTCGGTGGCTCTAGTCGTAGCGACGGCGAAAACGAAGGTGGCGGCGATGAAGACACGCAAGACCGAGGTCAAGGACACTCGGCAGACATCCTTGCCATCGCTTACTGTGGGCGCCAGCAGGTACTGCTGTGAGCACGTGCGTGTGTTGCTTCAACAAATTCTTCGGTTTTCATTCGTTCAAACATTTCTTGTCCTTCAATTAGTTTGCGCCAGCATTTCGCACCACAACCACAGCCTGTGATACCCTGTAAGAAACGAATTTTCGTAGTAGTTGACTCTAGGAATGGAAAGGACGAAAGGTAGTCAATCCGATTCCATTCACTAACGATATGAATATGAGCCATCGAAGGAGGGAAACACCTTCATCTCATCGTCGAGATTCAGGTACCACGTCTAAGACAAAAAGATACCGTTTAGAAACGCTCGGAAAATATAAACAAGGAATATCTTCCGCGTCGTCTTGGTGTTGTTTGTTGTTGCTATCTGCGTGTCTTCCAAGAAGGCCCCTTCTTCGTCCATGCTCTTCAAGACACAACAGAAATTTCTGTGAACGCAAGTAAACGTCCAAATAAGGTACTTCGAAGGACTTAAAACGAAGCTGTGCTCAGATCGCACTCCTCGCGAAGAAATTAAGTGTCTAAACCAACGTTTAGTTGAAAAACCCGAAAGAGGAATTGACGAACGGTTTACACCACTACCAATGGCGGGGCGCACGCTCCTTCATCCACCCACGACGAACTGCACAAATTACTGCACGCCAAGAACAGTCAACTCAAGACACTCCTGCTGAACACGTCGTGTGTTGGAAAATCAGGACTACGCTGCAACAATGACCTGAATACGCCCTACAACGCCTTTGTTCTGTAGCTGTGTTGATCATGATCGCCCCATCAGTCGCCCCGCCCCGCTCATGCAACCGGATCGTCATGTGTTGAATAACTTACAGTAAGCACCCTCCAATCAACTACTCTTTGGCTGCGATAGGTGGCGACCGCAGGCTTCGATGGGCGAATCTTCATCTGGGGAACAGAGTCCGGCAAACCAAAGTTTTCAATGAAGCCATCCGATCACAACGTCAGCCAGGTTAGACCTGAAAGCGGTAGGTAGGTGCAGGAAAGAGCAACGGCGTTGTCTTCCCGGCTGCAATCATCCCCAGCGGACAATAGTCAGCCGAACGCGTACACCAAGAGTGTTTTGGATAATGTTGCAGCAGGAGTTGTCAATCGATGATGTTGCGTCTGCCACGCCCGAACTTAGTACGACACGAAACATCAAGGGCATTCAGACGTGTGATGACCCTTTCCCCCATTCTTAACCCTCAACGAAAGAACGGCATCTTCCACGACGACAAAATGCCGTAGATCCAAATCAGTGCCTTCACACGCGAAGTAAACAAACGCTGAAACACCATGTGACTGTCTGGTTCAGCTGGACGAAGTGTCGTCCATCGGGGGGCTGACAAGCGTTGCGCGGTGGATGGCGAGGCAACGGAAGAAGGATGGCAAGGCGTTGGACAGCGACAGTGTCGATTCCGGCGGGTGAGTGGTCGCACGCAAAGCGAACTTGAGGGGGTACCGGACGTTGGTCGTGAGTGATAGCGGATACCGCAACGGAATAGTTGAATGCAGCGTAGTTATTACGCTTTGATTGTTTCAGATGCGTGTCGTGCACTGACCGTGTGCTTCTTGTTTCCCATTTCCCGGTAACGTCACACTGGTAACCCAAGGGAAATGAGCTTGGTTTTAGGTGCGTTTGGACGTACTTTCGGACTGAGCCTTCTTGGAGTTCTATTCGTACATCTGAGTTAGGTGTACATCGATCCACGACCTCAGGCTGGCAGAGCACGTTCTTGTTTACAAAATGAGATGAAAAACAAAATGGAACGGGGTTAACATAAAGCAACGCAGCGTGTTCTACCGAAGATTGTTGTGCTCCTGCCTACATCATCTTGGCCACACAACACAAAACATGCTCGCGATAGACAAAGTAGGAGAGTGTTGGCAAGTACACTCCGTTTCCGCACAACGTTTGTTGGGATTCCACGATGGTGTACCTGTGTTCCCTCGTCTCGTTTTTCTCATCGCTCTGATTTTGGTCAGCGAGCGCATGCCTACGGTTGTACCAGTATTACTTGGAACCTAGACTGGTACTTTTCCTTCCATACTTCCCGCTTGCACACGGCTGTTCAAAGAAAGTGCCAGTTTTTAGTGTTTGGATTTTCCTCACCCCTCGCTCCACTCGAAGCACGCACCCCATCGTCGCGTTTCTCCCTGCAGATACCTGGATCGCATGAGGGACCTTTTGGCGGAGGACGTATCCATGTGTCACGTGTCGTGGGACGGAAGAGAATACTTCGCGGAGGTTGGTCTGTTTACAATGCACCGCTGACACCTGCGACCGACTGTGATGACTGTTCTTAGCGGCATGGAGATGACAACATCGACGATACTTTGGCCTGTTTTGGGGGTCCAGAACCTCTAGTCAATTCGTCTTGTTCCATCCGGTAGGGTAACCACGGATTCTGCGCTTGTTTGTTTTCTCGACAATCATTGACGGAGTAGTCCAATATCAGGCCTGTGCAGAAACGGCGGCATATCAAGCGGGTCAAGGAGTATAGATTCACGCGTCGATCATGCGTGGTAGGAAAGGTACCACCCATTCGCCCTCTCAGGTGCGAACCTACCCGGTTTTGCTCTCCCCGTCGAGGGCGTACGAGCTCTGCCTAGACTGCCTGACGTCCCAACACATGCTTTGACGTACGGCCCAAGCACAACACCTGTTGAAAGAGATCCGGGCACCCAAAGGTACACGGTATTCACGGAGAAATGGTTGTTCCCACGTTCGAAACCATCGCTAAAAGCTTGTCGATGCACCCCACCTTTTAATGTAGGGTTTTATTTCTGTCGCAGCGTCATTTTTCCATCTTTGAGAAACAGAAAAAAATGTTTGTTTCTGACGGAAGGTTTCATTTTTCGAAGGGGAATATCGCGATGTGGGCAGCACATGGAAAATGGCCAGGTGGATATTTCTCCGATTCGGCTTTAAATACCCCAACTGCTTTGGACGCAGCTTCATACAGTGTACAACGAACACGTTCAATGTTGCTTCACTTTCCAACTCATTTCACTCAACATATTACCACAAGGAACATGATCGGACAAATTGCTGTGCATGGGCCATGGACCATGGAGACAGGCGAACGCCATGCCTACACTTCCCTCAATCGACGAGGGCTCTTCCGCGTCACATTACCGTACTCCCACCGCCCAGCAAAGACGAGCAATGCCACCGTTGCCATGCTACGTTTGGTATCGCTTCTGGGGCTCCTCTGTCGTGTTCAAACCAACAATCCAAAGAAAATCATCCCCAACGGCCCAATACCTTCCTGTGTTGAACCAGGAACGTATGGGCGGCAGCGACGACGGCTCCGGTACAGCACAAGCCGCCAACCACACAATTGATCCCGACCCCGAGGGTGGATCGGCGGCGTCGGCGGACGTAGATGAGAACGCCGATACTGCCGTTGCCGAAACAACGGCTCAAGAGGTGTCCGTGGTCTCTGAGGAGGAAGCCAAGGCTAACAGCAGTGGCTCTGTGGAGGCTAAAGGCTCCGCAGCAGGTGGAGGGGCGGCGGACAGTGACCGAAAAGGGCGTGGAGGGGCGTTGTGTCGGCCAGATCAAACTTCGCCAGTAAAACCACCGCGCGACGAACGAGTAGCGGCAACGGGCGGCGACAACGCCAGTCCTCTCACTTCGCCGGCGGTGCTGCCGCCGTCTTTGGGTGCTGGCGGCGGCGAAGGAAATTATTCGTCATCAACGACGGGTCACGGGGCGAATAGCTCCAAGGCGGCGTCTGCGACCCACTCGACGGACGGCCCTGCTCCAGCGAGTGGTTCAGCCAGTCTGGGGCCAACAGGGAAAATCCAAGAAACAGAGTTGCCAGCGGCGAGTGAGAAAGGTCTAGCAAGCGTGGAGAAGCATTCCAAAGACGGCCGGCAACGGCAGGAGGAAGAGATGCAGCAGCAGCAGCAAGGAGTCAGGAAAGAAGGGAAGGGTGGGGAGGAGAGCGGCGGTCGCGGTGGTGGTGGTTCACGGTCGAAAGGTGACGGGTCGTCGAAGGCCGTCGCCATCGCCTCCGCCGCCGGCAAGGAGGCAGACGGCGGGGTGGATGGGCTGCTCGAGAGCGCCGTGTCTCACACGGTGGACTGCCTGATATACATCACATGGTGTGTTTGTATGGAGTACACGCCTATAAAGGCACAATAACCTTTTAGAGTGTACCTTCGCGCACGGCACTCCCCAAAATCTCAAGAGCGACGTATTCGTGGTGGTCAGTCACAAGCACACTCCTCCAACCAGCTACACTTTGATAATCCACCCTCTCCCCGCCTGGCACGGAATTCCTTCGCTATGTTCTGCAGCCACAACGTCCTCTGTTCGGGTACTGCTTCCGGCGAGCTGCACTTGTGGGACGCGTCCACGGGGGCGTTCATTTTCGGCGTGGCGGCGCGGCACCCGAACAACCCCGGCTTGACCGCCATGAGCACCAATGAAGGTCCCGTGGAAAGGGGTGGAGGACTCAACCACGACACGCCCGAAGGCCCGAGTGCCCGCGGCGGCGGTGACAGTCTTGGTGACGGCTTTGGTGTCGGTGCGACTAGGGCACCATCGGCAGCGGTGCGATCTACGACGCCGGTTGCTGGCAGCCGTAGCAACCTCATGCTGTTCACGGCGTGCGAGGAGGGGTTCGTCAAGACTTGGAGGTTGGGTGAGGAACATGCCAATAAAAAAAAATCGTCGGAGCAAGAGGAAATACTGCCACTTGGTGATATGTTGCGTTTTTTCACGAAGAAAATGGTGAGTATGCCCGCCACCAATTGTATCATATCCTTCCAATTTTCTTTGTATCCCCTCCGGAACCTCTCGCCCCCGTGTGGCCTCGTATGCTAGGAGATATCACCGAGCACGTCTACCAGACGGGCATGCGAGCAAGACCGAAGCCGCCGCGAAAATCTCGATCTGGCCGAGGGAGGAAAGGATCGGCGGTAAGAAACATCACGAACACCCAAATTGGTCAGTATGAGCGTATCTGCAACGTGCTGCACAAGTTGAATGAACTAAATCTTTGACTCGCGACACGCATACCCCCCGACATCCGTAAGGAGCAACATCTTCGCACCCCTTCCCAACTACCTGACGCCTTTCCTCGCTGCTCGGAACGAAGACTGCGGGAGAGGCAACAGCGCAAGCGTCCCCCTTGGCGGCAGTTCCCCCTGCTATGGCCGACAGCCCAGGGACTCAGCAGACCACCTCCCTGCTACAGCCTATGCACCAGTGGCAGGCCCACAAGACAACGGTTACTTCCGTGCATGGCGCCGACTATCGCGGGAAGCTAGATCTCCTTGTCACAGCGGGAGATGACTGCTACGTCCATATGTGGACGATCGCAGGCGCGCACATCGGGACCTTCGGCCAGGTGATAGTTCGTCGTAGGTACAGCTGTAGTTTTCTTTGTGGGATCTCTTGTGAAGAACAGCATAGGCACTGATTCTCGAGGCAAAGGCGCACCACAGCAGTGACCACTTCCTCAACCAAACGAGAGCACACGCTCACGAACGCCCACCCCTCCCCACATGTATATATATCCACACGGCCCGTTGCTTGTTTCGCACGTAAATGGTGCAAACATGAATAAGAACAGCCAACGGCTTGGTCTCTCGGGAGCCGCGCCACGTGGCGGGAACCCACAGACCAGGCTCTCTGCAGCGCGTACGGGCACGGCGGGGCGGGCAAAGAAGACGACGAGCTTTCGGCCACCACCACAACAGCTTCCGCCGCCACCGCTGCCGCCGGAGAAAAGGAGTCCAAAGCAAAGACGCATGGAGGGAGCAAACATTTGCGTCGAACGGTGAGATAGATAGGCAAGCAGGCTGGAAGACTGGAGGCTATGCAGGCGGACAGAAAATCTTCTGGTTCCCGTTTTGTTCTTTGTCGTGTTGGCCATAGTTCCTACCTTCTCGCCCCACACGCGCTTGCCTTGCCCAAAAGTACTGCCGACGAGTGAGAACCTCCATCCCCACCACCACCTTGGTGTAGATCCATTGCTAGCAAAACGGATGGCCGTTGGGCAGTAGGGTTTGATTGACACTGGTATTCCCTAGGTTGACGCGAATAATTGTAGCAGGACTTTTTGTGAGTAAGTGTCCGTGGCTGTGGTGCTGTGGTGAGACTCGTGCTTGACAGGTGGTTTGTAAGGTGTTTCACAACCATGCCACCCTTTCCGACGTTTCCATCGGTTCTCAATGCCGGTTACTCTCACCTTAGTCGGCTATCTTGCACTCTGCTGTTAGGCAAGCAAGCAAGGAAAGGCGGTGACATCAACAACAACCGACGGCGGCGACGAGAAGGAGCCACGAAAGGGCAGGCGAGTTATCTGTGCTAGATAGCCCTCTTGTAAAAAAAACTTTGGAGGATTTTCCCCGCTGTTTTCTCCAAGTACACCGTCCTTCTTCACGATGAGTATTTTCGTTTCTCGGCGGTTTGTCTCTCCGTACATGTGCACGCACACGCTGACGGCTTGTCCACGGGGCATCTCTTGCTCGCTCCGATCACGGTTGGATGCTTTTTCGAGGGAATTGTAACAGGAAGGGTACAACAACAACGTTGTAAATGCGCGACCGACACGAAGGTTCCTTCACAACCGAACATTCGAGGTTACTGCCTTCGTCCTCTCCATCAGGGGACACCACGATCAACGCGCGCGTGCTGCCCAAGACCGTGACCTCGAGAAGGAGCGCGAAGAAGAGGCCGAACGCTGCCAGGAAAAGCGGTGGGCAAATACCAAGGGCCGACACGACCTAAGTACCGCGAGGACCATCGCCCCTGTTTGTTCTATTGCGCTCGGTGCCGTCGTGTGAGCTCTGTCGCACGAGAAAAATACATTACAGAATATATGTTTGACCTCTAACTGTCACCTATACCTGAACGTCGGTCAATGACCGACCGGGGGGCAACGGCAGGTACTACATTGCCAGCCAAAACAGGGTCCAACGGAAGCTGTTTCGAGGGAGACTGAACGCGTTCTGTGTGTCCCGTGACTACTACAAAAAGGAGACGATACAGGCGAGCAAGCAAGCTAGGAGAGAACATTGTGTCCTTGTTGCTGACCCGTGGGCGGGGGCGACGAGTACCTGCGCGCTCCGCTTAGCGTGCAACACGGTGCGCTTCACGCTCTTTGCGTGCATCGCCCGGCTTCTCCACCTAGAAAAAGAGGCCAACGTATGCGCGCAGGTTGATGTTGTGGATAGTTTGTATGTGTTTTGGGGGTGATTCTACCTCTTCCGTGTCACTACCTTCGGATACCACAGGTGTTCAAACTCCACCTCACCCCCCACCCCTACCTCCGCTCTACTCTTCGACATCCAACCCGCATCTTCGACTCCGTGGTGTGAACTCGTCATTGGCTTGCCCGCCTTCTACCACCGCGAGCCTGCCGCGTGATATACATCGATTGAGCTTCCGGCCGCTAACTCCGATTGAAATGTGTGGCAACCCCAAGCAGGAAGCAACGCAGATCCTAAGCGAGACATGCAAGAAAGGCGCCCTGCACCCTCAGCCAACTTCTTCCCGCCCCGTCCTCAGCAAGCATCGCATTACGTCGATCCTCCGAAACACGTACAACCAGGCAAGCGGTAACCCATGCAGTTTTAACGGGCGGCGACGAGAGTGGAGGACAACAAGAAGAGAGCTCGCTTGCAAACGCCAAAGAGCATTACACACAGCGGATGCAAAAACCGTACCGAGTGTAGCTGTTTTGCGTTGCGTTGTGTAATCAAACTTCTGTAGTTTGGTTTTGATCATCCGTGATATACGTCCAACGCAGAAAATGGCCTGTCTTAAGTCGATGTGCAGTAGCTGAGTGTCGAGTCATATACTAAAGGCAGCCGACGGGCTTGATGGAATCAGCTTGTGTGACCTTCGCAGCAAAGAGCCGCCCTCGGTAGAATACACAACCCGAAGAGGAGCCCCGACACCCTTTCTAGGCATATCAACAGCGTGCGTTGTTCACAGAAGCTTCTTTCATGCGCCGCTTCATTCCTACAGTAGATCAACGCAGCTGGCGGTGTCCTGTCCCGCACGCGTGCATTCTCGTACAATTACTGTCATCACACCTGCAGGTATCTTTCCAACTCCAGCTCCACAAGCACGAAGACGTGCACGAGAGGGCAGAGGTGGCCCTTACGCGACGAAAATCGCGCCGTAGGGCCAAGGCTGCAGCTAGCAGCGCGAGCCACCAGCACCACCCTCACCACCCCCGAAACCCCGGCGGAACAGCTGAAACGAACCGATCCTCCTCCATGACGCTGACGGCAGCCACGGCTCCTAGCACTCCACATACCCCTGAGGACACGGCTACCTCGCGGACCGTTTCCCGAGCAACAGGGGTTGAAGGGGGTCGCAGTGGCATCACTACTCCGGCAGGAGATGGAACGGTACAGCGTACGGATGGCCATGGCGGTGGCGGTAGCGGCGGACACGGCAGCAGGGTCATGCCGGGAACAAAGGCTGCGCGTGGTACAGATACCATGTCGAAAGACCGCGAGGGGAACGTGCGCCCAGCTGCCCCGGTGAACCCCCCATCTAGCTCCGCCACGAGCGGGAGACGGTTTCGACCCAGTGCCGCCATGGGCTGAACCGGTTTGGCGGGGGCAACAGATAGTCTACATGTAGCAGTTCCCTGGACTTCCGACTGCTGTGAGGGTGAACATTTCATCGTTGGTAAAGATGATATGGTATAACACAGCATCACCAGTTTCATCACCGGCTGAGAGCTCCGAACCCACTACCTGGAGCCAGGAGGGGATTGCGGACCTGGTTGCGCTTGCACGTTGCTCTTGGAGAACACCGGTATCCAAGTCATTGCTTTCACATGTTCGTTGTGCCTCCGGTGAAGATGGGAGTCTGGTCTCCGACTTTCTAGGGTGTAGATGACCCACAGAGGTAAACGTCAAAGAAAAAGTGGAAGTACAACGACTTGGTTGGGTGCGGGAGGCCCTCCTTGTGAGCTTGGCATCCGGATCACATCAAAAGCAGCCAGTTGTAGTCTATTTAGTGAAGCAATTTTACGCCCGACCAACTACATGTAGTAGTAGTTCTGAGGGATTTACGTCAGACTTCCTGTCGCTCCCCCACTGGATATACTCCATCCATCGACCATTTCTACCACGCCTGGCTTCGCTTCGCGGCAGGGGCCGTTCTCTGTTGGGTGTGTACTGAATCGCCAATAATGGCAGACGACGGATTAGACTACAGCAGTGTAGACTAGTCCCCCATGGGCTGCAGCAAACAGCGCGGCACATTTAGCACACTTGACACATAGCACACTTGACACGTTCGCTTCTTTCCTTTCGCTACACTTCATTGCGTATGCGATTGCATTTGTCTCCGTTTCTGCGATGACACGATCCGCGTTGATGTGCGACAAATGCGACGCGACTGCTGTGTCATCATCATCGCACTCATTTTTGGATTTGGATTTCGGAAACATGTACATGGAATTGCAGAGGTTCTCATGTTCTCATTCTACGAATCAATCATCAACCAATCTCGATCTACGCAGAAAGCGGAGAGGTTCGGGAGGGACAAGGGTCTGCAGAAAATATGGGAAAAAACGAGGGGGGGTCAACCGCTATCTGTGCGCACATCTGAATCGCGAATCACGCTTGCCCGCACTGCTGCTGTGTGTTAAAAGCGCGCTGTTTGAAACCGAGTCCGCGCTCGAACCCTTTCTCTTCGTCAGCTACACTGCTTCTAAAATTTTGGCCAGAGGTTTACTAGCTGTCTAGGGAGATTGGTCATGGTGCGGGGCGGATACGCAGAAAGCTCGGCCGGCTACGGCGGCGACCTGCAGGCAGAGGTCCAGGCCTGGGTGGAGCAAGTGACGGGGGAGCCTTTCGAGGGGGACTTTGCCGACGGCCTGCGCGATGGCGTGCGTCTCTGCAAGCTCCTGAACACCATCAAGCCTTCGAGCGTGCGCAGGATCAACCCGTTCAAAGAAGGCCAGAAGTTCAAGCAGGTGTGTTTTTGTGTGTGGAGTTTGTTTTTGGGAGACCCTGGCCCAGCCTGTGGTCTGTTCTCGTTTTTCGCAAGCGGCAAAACCAGCGTGGTGACTGGGGCTCAAAGGGAGGACGCTTTTGCCCATCAAGTTGCTTTGCCGCCACACCAGGGTGCTGAAGATGTCTTGTGAGGTGGGGGACTCGCATGGGACGATTCATCCCACTTATCGATAGCCGATTCATCCCCGCCCTTTCGGCGTGAGTACCCAATGGCAGCTCTTGCTCTTTCGCACCGCTCCTGTTTTGTTGTGTTTGCGCGCAGATGGAGAACATCAGCAACTTCATCCGTGGGTGTAGAGCGATTGGCGTGCCGGAGTACTCTCTCTTCGAAACGGTGGACCTCTACGAAGGGAAGGATGTGGGCCTCGTGGTGAAATGTTTGGTAAGCGATACACAGCACACGGAGAGCACAAACATGCACGTGGCATGTTTCTGCTGCCCTTGCCGGAATAATAGTTTCGGCGGTAAACTTACACCTCACGGGACACACTGCTGTTTGTTCCCACAGCTTTTGCCACCCACCAAAGGCAGTTTCGTTTCCCTCGCTCGCTTCACCTATATTGCATACCCCTTCCCAAGGGTCTCGACGTGTCGGATATGACTGTTATCCTCGGCCCAACCCGTTGAACTCAAGTTGTGATGATGACAGGTTCTGGGTTCAGGTTTTTGGAAAAATAAAGTAAACACAGGAAGACTACACATTCGAATTCAGGTTTATTTGAAGGAAATGATGTGCTACTTGGAAGTGAATGTGTTGCACACTTTCTCGGGACCCCGAACGGGAGGAACAGCCAGTTAAACCTTGTCGCTGCTTCAAGAGGCGTTGCACAAAAATGCACAATGATAGCCAACGCGCTTCTCTCGACCTCCTATGTATATTCCTCCCTAGACTCATTGAGCCCGGTTCGACACGTTGTTGGATTAAAACGAGTTTGTCGGAACCTGTTGGGTCACACAAGGGACTATCCTCCTCCTTACAGGAGTTGACGGGTGCGTGCCATCCGTTTAGAATTTTTGTGGCTCGGTATCCAAGTCGTGAGACTTTTTCTCTTTCCCACCGATAGAGGATTGGATTATTCTTCTTGTTTTTAGAACCTAAGCCGCAGGGTCGAAGTACAGCAGCTAGGCACTTGTATACTGCTGTACGTATCTTGTACGCGGGTGGTGGCCGTGACATCGCTGCTATATTTGCTCGCTCTCCGTGATCTGTGTGTTTTTTGTTACGTAGACTGGAGCTTGACTTTTTCATATTTGTTGACATCCTAATTGAAAGATATGAAGCATCGTTCCGGGAACCAATCCTCGACGCCGAAAGTCTCAGATGTAACGGACTTGAAACTGTTTGGTGGGGACTTCGTAGACATTGCCCCTGTTACGTACTCGGATAAAAATACCTCAGGCAGGAACCGCAGGAGGGGGTCCAGCCCCCCCTTCCCATGTGACCCCAGTTGGGTCGTCTAGCTAGTAGAAGTGGAGGATAGGGGCCAGGGGGGCAGACGACAGAGTCATGATGGGAGAAAAAAAAAAAAAAGTACTCAAGAGTACCTGGTATCTTCATGAAGGCAGACTCTCCGAACGAACCTAAAACTGCTGTATCGATGCTGCGTGTTACTCCACAACGGAAGACCGCAAGCACCCGGGTACCACCTCGAGCACGGAATGCGTTTGCTTGTCTTTGTTTGCTGATGGTGGAGCGAGACCTGATCGAGGGCAGGAGAGCAGAGAGCTTGCAAATAGTTGGGCCTGATGCCATGCCTGCCCCACGCGCGAAAGGTCCGTGACACTCACGGCAGAGACGCGAAAGTACTGCTGCGACAAGTTATTTGCGTGTGGCCCATTGTTGGGTGCCTGCCTGCCTGTCCTGCAGCACAGCTGCAGCAGTGTTCCGCGATCCGAGGATTTGGTGCGTGAAAGTAGTTTTACACGAGGTGAGGATACTGGCGGAGTTCTCTCTCTCGCTCTCGCTCTCTCTCTCTCACATACACACTCTCTCTCGCGCGCGCGCTGTATGCACGTAACGGCCGGTCCATGCATCAAAAACAAACTACGAAATGGTATCATACGAGTTGAGAGAGGGTAGGGTGCTGGTGCTGGTTCTCAACATGTTCTTGGAAGATATGCGCATGTGCGCGTAGAGAGGGGTGAATCCTGAATACAGCAGTAGTAGATCGAGAAGGCGACAGGAGTATGATGTGTGTGATTGCGAGTGGGAAGGCTAAGGCTTGATTCACACGTGGAACATGCTGGTATCCAGCGAGTGCACGAGGATACGGTATGTTCTTTCAATGATGCTTGTCCTGCCTTGGCACACTCCTCGAATATCATTCCACATGCACGTCCTTCCCGAGCTTGCTCAATTTTCGCCAAGTACTCCAGTTTTTGGGCACGCATACGGTGCTGCAGGGATTTTTAGGTGTACCTCTTCGGGCTCTTGGATACTTTTTTCTCGTTATATGTGTGCGTGTTCTTTAGATCCTCAGATGGCTCTAGCACTTTCGTGACCACGGGCTGAGAGTCTTTGCTAGATTTTGGCATTTAGCAACTGACATACGGTTAAATGTGAAGACAACAACAACAACAACTCCGAAACAAGAACGCTGCTGTCATGCCCACAGGCCCCTCTCCACGCGGTGCCTGCGTTTGAGAGTGAATTCCGTGAGATGAACCCCCCGCCGGTCACCCCGTTTTCGCCCGCCACGAACAAAACAGCACGCCCTGGGAGGGACCGTCCAAAAGAACTGCCCCGAATTTGGAGGCCCGCACTTGGGATTGAAACCGGTTTCGAGGGCACCCCCCCGCGTGGCGGCGGCAGTGCCAACAGCGGCAGCGCGGGCGCCGCAGGCGTTTGATCATGCTGCTGTCAAGGCAAACGGTGGCGCCGCCGGAGAGCAAGGAGGATCGCCGCCCCCGCCGCCGCCGTACAACGGTACCGCTCAACGCTGGGGTTCGAGCGAGACCCGGCCTGCGGTAGCGGCGGCGACGTCGCCGCCGCCCGCCTACCGCGACGACCTCTCCTCCAGGTTTACGGAGACGGTACAGGTTACCGGCAGCAGCGGCGGCGGGTCGGTAAGCCCTCGTAATGGCGGTGGCGGCGGCAGCCACTCCGGGCCAGCTGCGAACGGTTCTTGCCGTCACACCTCCGGCTCCAAGTCACCCCCGCACCGGCCCGCGCCGCCGTACGGCGGTGCCGTCATTGGCAACGGGCAGCAGCACTCGGCTCGCCCCCAATCCCCAGCGCGGCCATACAAGAAAAGCTCGTCACCGACAAATGGAGTTCGTCAGCAGGTGTCCGGGGCGCCAAGGGCCGTGTCGCCTTCCGCGCCCCCCCCTCCGTTGTCGACGGCGACGGCGACGGCGACGACGATGCCACCCCGCCGGTCGCCCACGGGTGGCCGGGGCGGCGGCTATGGGCTGGACGCGGAGCTGGCGGCCAGGCGGGAGGCAAACTACGACTACGACGCGGAGGCGGAGGCGCAGGAGTGGATCGAGGACGTGACGGGGGAACGGTTCGCGGAAGGGTTTGGGGAGGAGCTGAAAGACGGGAGAAAGCTGTGCCTGCTTATCAACCAGATCAAGCCGGGAGCCGTGCGGAGAGTGAACGACTCAAGGATGCCCTTCAAGCAGGTGCGGAGAGGGGGAGGGGGCAGGAAGGAGGCACGCTGACATCTCCAAGTTGTGTAAAGTATATCAAGGCAGTTCATTGCGCCGAGAATGCTGCGTTGAGTCAATTCCACCCCCGCGAAGGCTTGAGGCCTCCTGTTGCCGATACCTCCGTATGTGATGCAAAATACAAGGCGCTTACCTCCCTCGTGCCAGGGACAGGCAAAGCACCTTCATTCGTCCAACAAGTCTCACCGACTGTTGTTGCCTGTCTTTCGCGTCGCTATTGCCGCTCCACCTTTCGTTCATACACTGCTGCTGCTGCTTCTCTCTTGTGGTCACTTGGTTCAGATGGAGAACGTGTCCAACTTCTTGAAAGCTTGCAGGGCCGTCGGCGTGGCGGAGCACTCGCTGTTCGAAACCGTCGACCTCTACGAAGGCAAAGATCTCGGACTCGTTGTCCGATGCCTGGTGAGGTCCTGCTGTGGACGAATCGACAGCATGCTGACGGTTGAACGTGATGTGCAATTTTTTTTTTGCCGTTTCTGTGCACCTCGGTTGGTGGCGGCGCCTACATACGGTTTGGCGTGTAAGGGTTATAGATGTGTCGACGACGTCTTTGGGGTGATCGTAGCAGTCGCTGTGTATGCCGGAAGCGCTGTGATCTCGCGTGTGCTGGTGTTTGCGGCACGATTGTACACACCAGTACAACAAATCCGGGTCTCCAGTCGATACCTTTTCGGGAAATATTGTAGACACTCGTCAACTTGGTTCTAGTCATAGTCTTGACGCTGTCTATTCACTACCCTCTCTTACCTGCCTCCCGGTGTTGGTGTGCAATAAGGAGGTCTGTCCATCTGAGTGCCATCACGTCCAGAAAAAGAGAACGTGAATTTTAGCACAGATAACGTCGGCAATGCCGAAACATTCCCCCTTGGTTCCTGCTCTGCACCTCTGTCTCTGTCACTGCTTATCTCCCTGCCTCCCTACCTGCTTCTCTCTCCCCTCCCCGCTCCCTCCCCTCCCCCCTTCTCTACCTCCCCCCTCCCTCTCGTGCAACACCGCTTCCGCTTCCAATGTAGCACGCTCTGGGGCAAACGGTTCAGAACAGCTGCCCGGAGTACAATGGGCCTCGCCTTGGCATCAAGCAGACGGAGGCCAACAAGCGCGAGTGGACCGAAGAGCAGCAGCAACAGCAGGTACGGTACTGTCTTCTCTTGGCCTCAACAGGCGTCGCCTATGATAGCCGCTCTCGTTGCCTCTGCACTCGCAATCGAAGTTGTAGCCCCCCCCCCCCCCCCCCCCCCCCCCCCCCCCCCCCCCCCCCCCCCCCCCCCCCCCCCCCCCCCCCCCCNTCCTCCGAGGGATCGCCATCGTTGTTTTCTTCCGTGCCCGTACCAAGCCACGATGATGAGTAGATAGCAGTAGCGGATAATGGGTAAATAATTCGGCCCCTGAAACCGACTGTTGCCGCACACCAGTTGGTTGCATTTCCTCGATTCCGGGCTTGTGTTTTTGTGTGCCTGTGCCAGTCTGTGCGCGCGCTATTTAGCACGTGTGTGTGTATGCCAAACGCGGTCCGCCCCAGCTGCACAGCTACATGACAGTGAAATACACCACCAGCCAGCCCCCCCCCCTCCCCCCTCCTTTTCCCAATGGACCCGCTCCATCGCCTATGCTGCCGCATCGCGCCGGTTGCGTTAATGCACCGCACCGCCTTGCGCGGCATGTCCCGTCGATCTTGCTCCAAAATAAAAACAGCTGCGGAACAGCTCGGGGGCCATGTCCAACCTGCTTGCGGGGTCGAGCAAGACCATGGAGCGTGCGACGATTCTCAAGACGGGGGCGACCTTCGGGGCGGCGCAGTCGGGGACCGGGGACCGTGCGGGGACCAGCGGCTGGACCATGGGCAGCGCAAACACGATGGACCGTTCCCACATCGTGAAGAGCGGCCCGACCTTCGGCGCGGAGTACGCGGGGGCCTCGGGGGACAAGACGGGCGCGTCGTCGCGGTTCACCGCCGGGCACCGCTACTAAACGGTCCGTTCCATTGTGGAAGGCGGTGTGCCACCTCTGTTTACCGCTTCTCGTCGGTTCAATTATGGAAAGCGGTTTTACCACCGCCGGCCATCGCTACTAAACGATTTGTTTTATTGTGCAAGGCGGTTTGCGCCGCTTGTAAACTTGTTTTTAGTTATGGAAGGCGGTTCACGACCGCCGGCACCGCTGCTAGGCGTTTCGTGAATTTGCGGAAGGCGTTTTTGCCGCCGCCGGGCACCGCTTCTGAACATCCTGATGGTTGTGGAAGGAAGGGAATTTTCCCACGGCGCAGCCTCTCTGCTTGTCTCGTGTGTTGCTGCTGCAGTTGCGGTACCGGCCGCCGGCCCCACCGTCGACCATGGCACGAATGGATAATAAACACCCCAGGGCTGTTGTTTTGTTCCTGCGAGCGCTGCGGTTGTGGACCGTGTGGTGTGCGGGTGAGCCGTCAGGAGGACTTCGCCAGGGGAGTACGAGGGGGAGCGAAGGGGGTTAGAAGATCTCCGATTGTGTGTCGGCGTGGCCTCGATGCGATGAGCCTCATGTTTTGGCTACTACAGCTTTGCTTTGGGATGCGCGCAGGCAAGCAAGGGGGGTCTTGACCTCCTCTCCCCGCCTTTGCTCCGACCAGCACGTGTTGTGTATATTAGGGTGTATGTAGTGGTTTCGTCGTAACCTCTTGGGGCTGTTCTGCTACTGTTATTCGTCATTGTCGTAGTTGTTTTTCTCTTAAGAAATATGTCATAGGCGTTGTAACCTCTTTCCAACGTTGGGTTAGTTACCATGCACCACTCGGGGTAGCCATTGATGTGTGTTTGTGACGTTGTATACGATGATTTTCGCTTCTCGCTGTCCATGTTTCACAAGAGTGGTCTTGTCAGTTTCGTGCTTGTAGCGCCTCTGTCGGCCAGAATAAAACTATACATCTTAGTAGTAAGTGGTGTAATCTTCACGCGTGCATGTTCCCGTAACAGCATCGATTTTCCAGAGCAGCGCCGGGGTTATGCAGGGGGTGGAAAAACAAGCGTGCTTGCTGCATGCTTTTGACGCAGATAGGTACACCTCACACATGGGCATAGACTAATTATGTTTTTGTTATTAAAGCCCAATGCTCATTTCTCCCGTGGAGGAGCAAGGGTGGTGAGTGTTGGGAGAAATGTGTGCAAGAACTGACTCTATTCTACTGCAGGGTTTGGTGCAGTATGGTGAAGGCGTGTATCCAAGTCTGTAACCGTCAGGTGAAGACAGCTTGGACGCCGATGTGTGAAATAATGATCACTCTGTGTTTCTCTACCCGAGCCTCTTGCGTCACATGCGCCAACCACAACGTACAACAGCGGTGAGGTTCCGCTAGTACGCCCAACAGTGAGCGGCCCAAAGCGTTCCTGGCTTGTAGCGGTGTGGGAAATCGAAATTCTTAAGCGGCACACAGGGGGGGGGTGGTATCCAGCGCCATCGGTGAATGGTGTTTTGGTATTTTTTTTTATAGTTTCCCCTACCTTGTTTCTTTCCTAGGGTGTGAGTGGTATATACTTTGGCTCCGGGTTTGAAAAGGAACGTACTACTTTGTAGTGTAGTGAAGTGTTGACAAATGCATTTGAGATATAAAATATTGAACTCGGGACCCTCCCGAGTTCAATAGTCCCGATGAGTACACGCTGCACGAATCGAGGCATCCAATAATCAGGTCGAGGTCGTTGACCATCCATGTGGAGTATGACCCCAACATCCGCATCTCCTGTCAACAAAACAAGACAATAAGTGCTCACGAGCATGGCCGACGTGTATGTAGCGGAGAACACAAGCCCACCACCATGTTGACGAGCCAGGAGAGGAGGCCTCCGTCATGTTCTTCCTCACACAAGATACTCTTATCTCTTCAGCGCAGGAACGCACCCTAGAGGTGCCCTCCTTGGCGCCCCAAAACAACACGCTCAGCAACTGGAATGAACGCCCCGCAAACCTCGCGTGTACAACGCGAGACGGACACGAGATGAGAGCAACCCCACCCCACCTGGCCCGAGCCAGAGCCAGGTCCCGGTGTAGATGATCTATCGCCTTTTGTCCGTCTCTTGCTGGCTGGTGCGTTTGATAAGCATCACAAACGACCGTGCAGCGGCAGCGGTATAAAGTACTTATGCCATATTCCGTTAGCGGCGGCATGGGGCCGTGCGAATGTCCCGTCGAAGATTTGGCGAACGTTCGCCCGCTGACCACAGCAAACAGAGCGTGCCCTCGGTACACAGACATCCACGGTCGGACACGTATTCATTGCAGGCCGCTCGTCAAAGTAAATGCAAAACAATCGTCCATGTTTCGTACTGCGTTTGTATAGCGTCTAAGAGCATGGGCAAGAAGAGCCTATGTACGACCCAAATTACAAAGCTCGCCCAAAGTAATATTTACACGATTCGTACCACCACTCCTATGCTTCGTGCGACCGAACGTCCCACACACCGCCGACCCTCTATTATGCTACAACATATCCTCAACAACGAACGACACGTCGTCGTGGCCGCCGCCGGCACCTCCCTCGTGGTTCGGCACCGGCGGCGGCGGCGGTGATGGCGATGCGTCCAAGAAAATATCGTCCGACAGCTCCGGGTTGTTGAGCACATGCAAGGCGGCGATTACCGTGGTGAGCACGTAGCCCTCCTTACCCATCACCCACGACTCGTCGCGCATGAACTGCTCCACGAAAGCCACCTCGGCGTGCGGGCGGGGCAAGGCCGCCGCCTGCGCGTCATCATCCCCTCCGCCGCCGGCGACAACCGCCACCGTCGTTGCGGCCGCCAGGTGCCGGCACACGGAGAAGATTAACGCGTCGGTCGTTCGCTGCTCCGCAGGGAGGGCGTCGCTAACCCTCTCCACCGCCCGCACGAGAAACCCGAGCTTGTCGCGGCCCGTGCGCGCCGAACCGGCCGCGCGCAGCGCGGACACCACCTCCGGTCGGCAAGTCGACAGCAGGGGCGGCTTGCCGGCCGCCGCCCTCGAGCGCTCCTCCCTCTGGACGCGCCGGGCGAGGGACGCGTCGCCGTCGCGGGCCGCTCTCGAGGAGGCGATGCGGCCGAAGACCGGCCCGTACGTCTCCGAGAAGACCCGCTGGTCGATGCAGTTGACCGCCTGGATCTGCGCCTCGTGGGACGAGGTGAGCTGGGGACACCATGCCAGCACGGCCTGCGTGAGCTCGCGGAGCACGCCGTGGACGTCTCGCAGCGCGTCGTCGTCGCCGTGCACATCTTCGTCCCTGCCTCCCGCCTTCGTGGAGGCGGCGGCGGCTGTCGCCCCGGCTCCAGCAGCGGGACAGCACCCGTTCTGCGGCCGGTCCAATCCGTTTCGATCTGCTCCCGCTCCTGACTCCGTCTCATCGGGCTTCATCCCTCTGTCCGCGCCCGTTGTTGCCGCTACGCCGCCGTCACCTACGGCGTTTTGCCGACGGGGTGGTGGGGCGTTGGCAAGCACGCTGATCGGCGCATCCTCGGGGCTAGCAGAAAGCCCCCCCTCGTCCCTACACCAGCACACCGGGGCTTCGGCGGCGGCCCAGCCGTCCCCGAGCCCGCCTTCATCCTCCTCGACGTCTCCCATCAGCGCCCTCGTCGACCTACTACCACCACCGCCGTTCGCCGAGTGTCTGCCCGCCACTCTGCCGCCGCAGCTGCCGCACACGCCTCCTTCCAGCTGGACCCAGCTATCCATGCGGGACGAGTTGCTTCGCCACGAGTCTCTTGAAGCGACCGCAGCAGCAGCAGCACCAGCAGCACCTGCCGATGAGCGCCTGCCGGCCGTCATCGCTACCGCTGCCGTTGCCGGGGCCGAAGTCAACCCCGCCGCCTCCGACCTCACTACTTTGCTCCGCCGGTGCGCGCGCGTGGCGGCGGGCAACCGCCTGCCGCGCCTGTCGCCGCTTCTCTCGTCGTAATCATCCGCGCTGCTCCGGCCGTCCCCGTCATCGTCGTCGGAGCCGGGAGTATCGCTGCCCTCTCCCGCCACAATCTCCGCCTCCTCTACGAAGCTGAACGACTTCTCCAGGCCGGGCGTGCTCGCGAAAAAACCGCCATCGTCGGTAGCGGCCGCGGCCGCCGCTGCGGCGGGGGGACCCCGTCGACTGCCGCTGCTTCGAGGGAAGAGCGCGACCATGTCGGTGTCGCTGGAGCGCCGCCTGATCGGGACCGGCCGGGTGCAACCGCCATCGCCGCCGCATCGCGACGAGTCGTGCCGGGAGCGGAACTCGGCGAGGAGGGCGGCGTGCAGGTGGAAGAGCATGGCGGTTTCGTCGGCCAGGACCTTGCCCACGACGAACATCGCTACTTCCCCCGCGTTGCACTCCCCTTGCTCCAGGAGCTTCTCCTGTTCCGGGGCCAACTCCCTGCAAATTGGAACACGGGGGGGGAGAGGGGGTGGAGGAGAAAAGAAACGCGAGCGAAAAAAAAAAAAAATGGGGGAGGTCGGCGCACACCCCGACACACCACACGACGGTCTTGCCGCGGACCCCGCGATATGAACCCCCATGATACCGAGCCTGGATTGCTCCTGTTTCATTGCTACTTTACATTCTTGTACGGTATACTGCTGTTGCTTGATTCTCCATGTTGTCGCCATGCCGTATCCGGTCATGCGTTCATTCGTAATTATACACGATCTCTTTATGCCAATTCCGATTGTTCAGACAGAGGTCTAAATCGTGGGTAGGAGGATAGAGCTCTTGATTTTACAGTGAGTCTTGCGGTCATTCACTTAGGCTTTGCGCGCCGACAGCCTCACACTGCAACTCGCATCTCAACACTGTGGCAGGACTGCTGAGTGGAGCTCGATCTTAGCAGCTTGGAAAAGTGATACGCAGATCCACCGAAACATCATCATAATCAAACAACAACAAAAACGACAACAGCAACAACAGCGACAGCGACCGCAACAATCAAAAACTGTTGCCGCAAAGAGAAACGTACCACTTACAGTATCCCACGCCCAGCTGCCAAAAAACAAGCGAAAACAATTAGACCAGGCCGAAACAAAGCAATGCTACGGTAGCTGTTTCAATCCTAACCATAAACCCATATTCAAAATCGTACCAGATAGTCGGCTGGTGCTCACTCTCGACTTTTCCCGCGATACTTGCCCACAGGTCTCGAGGTTCGCGAGCGGCGGTTTCCTCAACCGCCGCCGCCGCCGCCGCCGCCGCCGCCGCCGCCGCCGCCGCCGTCGCCGCCGCCGAGCCATCCGCGCCCTTCGGCAGCCTTATCCCCTCCGCTCCGGCCTCCCTGCGGTTCTTCTCGATACGCTGCCAAAGCCCTTGCTGCACGCTCCTACCCGCCCCGAGGACAGCTCCTACTTGGAGGCCGAACACGGCGCCAACCGGGCCGCCAAACAAGGCACCGACCACGCCGCCGGCGACGCTCAGCTTGGTTACACCCCTGATCCCCATGCTAGCCGTGGTTGAAGAAGAAGCAGAGGCATCGGCGGCGACAGCTACGTCCGTAGCGGTGGTTGGCACGGACCCGCTGGCCCCCTGATTCCCCCGCGCCGACGCGGTATTGCCAGCGTCGCCTGCTGCTGTTCGGGTCTCTGCAGCAGCATCCCCGGCAGGGACGACCGCGACCGAAAGCTCCTCTTGGTGCTGCCGCTCGCCCACCACTGGCGAGGTTGGTCGCTTCCGCTCTCCGAGCCCAAGAGGGCTCCAGGAAAACGACGACCCTAGGTCTTGCACCGCACAAGATGCGGCGGAGGAACGTTGGTGCTGCTGCTGCTGTTGGCTTACAGCAGTCGAGGTTGAGTGGGCGCTCGTCCCGTCGACCGTCGCCCATTCATCGAGGTCGCCACCAGTATGGGCGGTTCCGCCGCCGCCGCCGCCGCCGCCGCCGCCGCAGCTCGCGGGCGATCTTCCCCCCGGTGTTTCGGCGCCCTTTTCGCTGCCGGTGGCAGTCGATGCTGATGCCGATGGCGAGCCGGTCACCGCCGGGGCGGGCGGAGGAGGAGGAGGAGGAAGCCCGAGCTCCGACCGACAGAAGGCGTCGAACACGTCCTTCGTCGGGCACCGGGGCAGCGACGCCGCCCCCGTGCACGAGCGGTGCACCGTCACCGAGCAGGTCAGGCAGGTGCACCCGCGCGTGAACGGCCCCCAAACGAGCTCGTGGCAGGCCGCGCACTTGGCCGGGAGACGAAAGATGCTGGACTGGAAGCTGTGACCGTGGGACATGGCGGCGCACATACCTCCCCCCTTTGGGCCGGCAGCGGCAGTACCGAAGCGTATCACGAGAGCGAGGCGCTCGGACTCGCTGAGCCCCGCCAACGGATCTGATGGTGCCACCGCCGTGCCGTTAGTTTTTGACGCCGTGGCGCCATCCTCTCGCTCCTGCTGCTGCTCCGGCTGCTTGGGTGAACGTATCATGGTCTGTAGGTTGAACAGGAGCAGCAGCGTCGTTGTACAGCAGTCCGTACTCGAATACTCGCTGTCACCACTGCACGGAGAAGGCTACGCAGCAGCCAGTACGTCCAGACGAGGGGGTGCCGCCATCAAGGAAAGTTAAGAAAGGAACATATGTCTCTTCTTCTCCTCCTCGCCCTGCTGTTGCTCGCCCTTCTGCCTTGTCTGCACAGGCCGGCGAAGTCGAGCACGTCGCTCGAGCGGAAGTTCCGCCGCAAGCGGCACCGCAGGTTTTGGATTTTTACGCTATACCCATAGCAAAGAACCGATTCCCATCTGTAGGGTTCCGCCCCTAACGGATATTTAAAATCAAACGCTCCCATTGGATAACCCTCGCTTGATCTCTGTCTCTCTCTCTCTGCTGCAGGCTCTGTGCCCACCACGTCCAAGACTTGAAAGAATAAACAGCAACGTCATTGGCAGCCACCGGCCATGGATGAGACTGAGGCGACATGGGAGCGATTCGTCTCTTGCAAGAGCTTGCTGACCCAGTTTCAACACTTTCAAACTTTGCAGCAGGGCGGCGGCTTCGGGGGCATCTTGTCCTCCAGCTCTAGCAACGCCAACTCGGAGACGTCGGCCTTGATACGCGAGCTGACGGTCAGGCCCGTGTCGAATCTTCTCTCGGACGAGGCTGTGCAAGGGCTGGCTAAACATGATCGACTCGTTGACTTCATCCAACTTGTTTTGAGGTCAAGGTCGAGAAACACGCCAGGCACGGCTGCTCGTGTTCAAGAGATCGCTGTTGTTGGGATCAAGGTGAGCTGCAGTCCACAACAGCACGATGTGACGGCGCTGGGACAAGTTACCTGTGGTAGTCACCCGTCGAGATGGCGCACCGTACACCTCCACCGCCGTGCGCCATGTCGTATTTGTGCAGAGAGGACTTGAAACAAATGCAAGCGGTTGGTACACAGCAGTAGATGATCACACAGGTGGAGGCGCTTGGGGGACAGACGAATTCGCACGATCAACCGGTCTCACGCACCCACCGAGTGGCCTATGGCCGCAAGGTGCTCCAAACAAGAGCAGGCAACCAGGCGTACGTAGCCATTGCAACCTACGAACAATTATCGCCATTCCTATCGTTTTATCCTTGTCGCAAACACCGTCGTGACAACTAGACTATTTGTGTCGTGGAATTTCCGTCCCGTGCATGTTTCTTGACAGCTTTCCTTACATGTGGTATTAAGCGTACACGTTCTGGAAGACCACTCTACAACAGTATCTTACGATGTTTTGTCAAATGGCCTGCTACAGTAGCTCTGGCAGAGTCGGTGTGTTGGTAGTTGGCAATAGACATGCCCGTACTGCAGCTGCCACAACAACTGTCTCCCCCCATCGTTTCGCGGCAAGATTCATATGCTGTACCCCATTTGGTCGCCGCCACCGCCACCAAATTCTACCCTTGTCACGTAGAGAACGCTACCGTACAACACAAACTACATAACCTACCCGTCACTCACATACGCATATAGGTCGAGGTAATTTTACGATACCGACACCTTTAAGCAGCTCTAGCCTAGCTTCGAGCACACACCATGTTACAACAACGTGTCGCAAAACCCGTTGTGAGCCTCCGCTTTCACTTTGCAACCCTTCCCCTGCCCCCCCCCCTCTCCCTCTTCTTGGCATCGCAGGCCATACAGTCTATGGTGTGAGCGTTTTGCTAAACCCGTAAGAACCTCCGTTTCCACTTTGCACCCCTTCACCTCCCCCCCTTCCTCGCATCGTAGGCAATACACTCCGGCCTGGTGGTGGACAAGCCGGCGCAAGAGCTCCAGAACGTCCTCCTCGCCGAGCTGGGCGACATCAGCCCCGACCACGCCCCCGCCATCGTCAACGCCGTCCTCGCGCCACTGCTGGAAGCCTCCAAGCGTCAGTTTCCCGAGAAGGAGATGAGCGAGGAGGCCGCGGCGAGTTTTCTCGTCGTCCTTGACATCCTCCCTAAGGTATGTAGTTTGCCTGCCTTCCTTCCGTGTCTCTACCCACTTTGTGCGGTTATACGCACCATCCCTTTGAGTAGCCCGTACGAGTGGGCGCGCGGGGGGGGTAGGTCCTCATCCCTTTGAGTAGCCCGTAAGAATGGGCGCGGGGGGGGGTTCGGTCCTCCAGGTGCAGTTGGCGGGAAAGGAGATGTTTGTGTCGCTCTTGGTGAAGCTGTTAAAATATCGGTACCTCAACTGTGCGTTTTGCAAAAGGGGGCAAAGGGTAGCTGGTGCTTCGTTATGCCATCAACACTGCATCTTGTAGTCTATCTTCTGAACCCTTGAGCTCCATGTGCTGCGCGCATACACAACCCGTTGCCCCGGGTTTCACAGAACTATCTTCCATGGAAAAAGCTCGAGTTTTTTTATTTATCTCTCAACGCCGTTTCATCTCAAAACTCGGGTGTATGTATCAGGTGCTCAGCGTCACCGCGGGGGTGCCGGCCCTATCTGATGAAGAACCCGTGCCCGAAAAAGTGCGGGGGCTCTCGGGCGCGCAGTACAAGGATCGGGTGGTGTCTTGCCTGTTCCGCGCCCGATGGCCAGGTGCGGTATCGGTGGGCATGTGCCAGACGCTGAGAGATCTGGATCTCGGGGAGAGGCATCTGTCGGTAGCGGTGTCTCGGGTGCTGCGGCACCTGCGCAAGAACGCCAAGCTTCACGACCTCCCGGCGCTTACGTATCAGCTGCTGCTGCTGGCTGGCAGGTAAAAATAGCGTGTTCTGCTGGAGTTTCATTTTTTCCCGTATGGTACAATATGCACTCCGGAATGATTGTTTGCATGTGTATACCGTTGTTGCTTTAAGCTTCATTTTCTCGGTCACGCATCTGACCTCTGCTTGCCCTGGAGCGTATCCCCCTGCTCGCTTTCTAAATCCCGCCCCCACGTCATAAAAAGTGCACGCGGTCATGGGGCTCTCCCAGATCGTCGTCCAGCTACACACCACGCCGTCGAACGGGACGATTTGCTCATGTCGATTCATGCCCGTACTCCCCCCCCACCTACCTCGCCCAATTCTTTTGTGTCACATATTGCTCGCGCGGCATCCGAAATGTGGTTGTGTAGGGGATGCAAGGAGGCCGCTCTCGAGGGCGTGATCCAAGTGTTTAACAGGCTTGACGCGGAAGCAGCTGACCGGGAGGACGCCGCCGCCGGAGCGGCCGGCGGCATCCCAATTAGGCCAATAAGCGGCGGCGGCGGCGGCGGCGGTGGTGGCTCCATCGGTTGTGGGGGGGGCGGGGGGCTCGGGACTAACAGCACCGAGGAGCTCCGGTTCGTGGAGGGCACCATCCTCCTGCACTTCAACTTCGCGATGAAGCAGGACCACAGCCTTGCGAGCTGCGTGCTCAAAGGTTTCCAGAGGAGGGCCGCCGCGGCGGAGGTCGGTCGCGCCTTCACTCCGTTCCGCCTCGCACTCCTGCTCTCCCTCTCTCGCATCCAGCGGTTCCAGCAGCCGGTCCTGGACCTGGTCGAGGAGATCGTGTCCGACTGCCTTGTGTACGACCACCTCAGGGAGGGCTCCGCGTGGCTGGAGAGCGAGGAAGAGGCGGCACGGGGGGGGCGGCGGTGGCAGCGCTATGGCGGTGCCGGCGCCGGCGCCGGCGGGGGTAGAGCGGAAGGAAGAGACGGCGGCGGTGGCGGCGCAAGCGACGGAGAAGACGGTGTTGGCGGCGGCGGCGGCGGCGGCGGCGGCGGTTCGTCCTCCTCGGCCAAGGCGGTCGAGAGGGTGCTCTTGACGGTGGTCGCTTTCAGCAGGGGCTGGGACCACTTGGTCGACTCTCTTCTGAGGCTTGGGCTCAGGCTGCTCGACCGCGGCGGCGGAGGGGCGGCGGGAGTGTCGTCCTCCCCCGGAGCGGTCGGCGCGTCCAGGGGTATGCTGGAGAAGCTCCAGGGGGCGCAGAGCCACCGGGCCGCCCTGCGGGCTTCGTACCTAGGCCGCGTGGTGCTGATGGAAACATTCAAGACCCACGAGGTGAGTTTGCGTCTTCCCCTCAGACTGCTTCGTTTCCAGCCACTTTCATGTACCTAAAATGTAGGTGTGTTGTCGGTGAACGCCTGTTCGGAGTTCCTTTTTGTGCTGAACACGCCAAGTCAAGTCCAGCGGTGGGTACTCTGTTGACTTTCTGTGTTTGGTGCGGTAAGGTTGTTCTTGGGTCCTGTCTGCTCTCGGTCGCCTTTGTTGTTTCACGCTATTTTCCAAAAAAGTGCTTTCGATGTGTTGGGGAGTCACTGCAACTCCTTTCGATGAAATGTTCCGCACGTAACGGAGATTCTCTTGCCCATTTTATTGGGGCACCGCCCCAAAGCGAATCGGGTAACATTTTCAGCAGCCACCCCTCTGTGCCCGGCGGTGGCGTCAAGCTGTCCGTTGGTTTTGGATTGTGGGAGAACTCCTATTCGACTCTGTCATCGATACAGGATAAATTCCGCGTCCGTCACAACACGGTGGCAAGGGGGACAACATGGACTTGTCCTTCCTCGTCACCCACCTCGTTCCTCCTCCTCTGTCACATTCAAATACAACAGTAGCTGCAGTTCTGGTCATCCTTCGACTGCGTGGACGCGTTTGTTGTCATCCACAATAATAACTACTAGAGTAAAACAACGCATCATGAGTAACGACAACAACGCAACTCGAGGCAGGTGGTTCGCGACCAGGTGCTGAGCGCGGTGCTGGAGCAAGTGACGGCTCGCTCGCAGGGGGTGCTGGGCTACGTCAAGCTCCTGGGCCTGCTGGTCCAGCGCTACCCGAATCTCCTCCTCGGGAAGGCGGCGGCCGTGCAGGACGTTTTCGGGTACATCTCGGTGCTCCCGCCGACGGTCGCCGAGCGCTTTCTCCAGGCCGTCTCGCCCCTGATGCGACTGCGCCCTGGTCTTCAGGTACGACGTACTGGTGTACACTACAAGGGGAGGTGGACCTACAGGGCAACAACATCTCTCGTGTTTCTGGGGCAGTTCTGTTTGTTATCTACGTGTTTCTTCTTTGGTGTGTGTAAGAGCCCCGCTTTATCTTGTTGCGGAGGAGCTCGTCTTGTGCATTATCGTGACGGCTTGGCACGGCGATGCTTTAGAGTTCCAAGAAGGGGGCGTTCGTCACCACGCAACTTCTATAGAGAATCTGGTCCCGATCCACTCCTCCCTTACCTTGCACAACCAAGAGGGGGACATTCGTCAACACGCGAGCTCCTATGGAAAGCTGGTCTCGATCCACTCCTCCCCTACACACGTTGTACAACCAAACGGGGGGGCATTCATTACCACGCAGGAGAGCGCTCGTCTCGATCCACGCCTCTACATCGGTTGTATGCTACAACCAACAGGCAGGGGGGCTTTGGTCAGTCACCACGCAGAGAAGCTCGTCTCGATCCACGCGTCCACATACGACGCTATGCTTGTACGAACCCGCAGGACTCGGTAGTCCTTCCTCTGCGCAAGGCCCTCTTCAGCCGCGAGGAACGCGCCCGCCTAGTCGCCGTCGGGGGCCTGGTGCTGCTCTTGAAGGCTCAGAGCCGAAACGCGGCCGCCGTTGGGGGTCGCGGAGGTTTGAGCGGGGGTTCGAACGGGGGCACGCAGATGAGCCAGACGAGCCAGATGAGTGAGGGGCAGCAGGTGGCAATGGCTCTGCCGTTCCCGCAGGCGGCGGGCAGCGGCGGCGGCGGCTCCGCGTTGTCTCTCGCCGAAGGCTTCGGTCTCCTGAGGAGATGCCTGACCCAGCAGATGGTGGTGCGCGCCAAGCTCTACGACGGGCTGTTGTCCTGCTTTGTGCAAGGGTGGGTTCAGATCGTGGATCTCCGGGGGGGGGGGGGGGGGGGG